GTACAATGAAAAGAAGTACAGAAAAAGTATTGGTATAAACAGCATCATGCTGAGGTAAAAAGACAAGAGTGACATGATGCGTGTGACCACTGTAAGCACCTCATCGTTGCATCGTTGCGCCGGGAACTCCTGGACCCAATTGGTCCTCCTCAAGAAATGCAGCACACGCCGGAGTGGAGAGCAAAGGTTCGAAGACACGCCCGAAACGCCGACTCATCACGGCTGGCGTTCCTTCTCCAGACGGGCGGCTTCGCGCACCTCGGCTCCGGTGGCACGCCACCAGACATCGGTGCCCCAGCGGATCATGCGCTCGGCGGCGGCTAGCGGGGTGACGGCGGGACGGACGTCGAGGTAGAAGACGGGGTCCCCAGATGGCTCAGGCTCGCCGGAGTAGTAGTCGATGATGTAGCGAATCTCCTCCGTCTCGTTGCCTATCTTGCGCGTGACGTACCAGTCGTGTCGGTCAAAGGGGGGCTCGGTGCTGTCGTTGATCGTCAGTATGCCTTGTTTTCTCGAACTCATGAGCACGCGGCAAGACTCACGCAAACTTGGAAGGGTAGATCCAGCCGAGCACCTGCATCATGGTGGCCTTGGGTGTCATCTCCTTGGGCCTGCCCTGGAAGCGCGTCAGGGTGGGCGGGATCTCCTTGCCGGTGCGCTCGGCCTCGATCATGTCGGGGGCGTTCTCCTCGCCGCGGCTGCACATCTTGAAGCCCTTGTAGAGGCCCTGTGCGAAGCGATCTTCCCAGGCGACAATCTCGGCCCAGGCGCCCTCGTTGAGGAAGTTGTGGCAGGCGACCATGGACTCGACAGCCGTGATGTCCGTGTCGGTGTAGCCCTTGCGCAGGAGAGCGTTGTACATCTGCTGCGGCGAGGGATACTCCCAGTTGCCGTCGCCCGAGCCGCGGGGGATGGTCGAGGGTTCGCGAGAGGTCGGCAGGCTGATGGCCTGGTTGCTGGCGGGGGCCTGGGAGATCTCCTTGAACATGTAGTTCAGGGGGTTGATCTGGGAGAGGAAAGACTTGGGCTGCGTCTCAGCGGCAGCAGCAGCGGCATGCTGGGTGTGATCGATAGGACACGAGGATGGCGGTGGTGCGGCAGCAGCACCCGCTGCGTGTGATCGATGGGACAGGAGGCGGGTGCTGCGGCGGCAGGCTTGGGTTTCGGGGGCGTAGGGTTCAGAGCGTCGACGGTCTTTTGGTGCATGGGGCATCCGGGCTGGGGGTTTACACGTCAACACAGTCGGTGCGATGAAGGGGGGACGTGATGGAAAGACATACTGGTGGTGTCCTGGCGCTGAGATCTGAAGGGTGGTTGTGAGGTATGGCAGCGACGGCGGGAGCCTGCGCATCAGCCCAGAACCAGCCCATGTTTGAGTTTAGTTTGTTGATGAGTCTTGATGAGAATAGTCCCCTGGATTTCTGGGGCGTATAGTGTCGTCGTCGTAAAAGATGCACGTTGAATGATTGTATCGTAGGGTCACGGGGCGAAAGGAGACAGTGATATCACCAAGAAATGTCGACAGCCAAAATTTCCAGGCCCATATGGTCAGCAAGAGCATCGTGGATCCACCCTGCCTGCCCCGTCGCGTTCTGCCTTTCGCCTTCCGCCTTGCGCCTTCCGCCCGATAAGATTTCGCCATCGCCCCGCTGCGGTACGTACCTCCGCGACGCCCAACCCGATTCATTTTCATCTTCCTTCCTTCCTCTCTTCACTTCACCATCTCGTCGCGTGCACATGTTTCTCCGATCTTTATCCGACCAATCAGTTGACGTCACCAAGTCGACTCTCGAGATGAGTCGCGCCGCGGCTCCGGCTGCCGGACGAAAGCTCCTTCCCATCATGACATGACGCGACAGACGCCCTCCAAGGGCACAATTGACGCTACCACATCGATATTCGACCTTCTAGACGGCATCATGAGAGAGCGATAGAATCATTGTTTTCCTTCTTGCAACCCTTTTCGCAATCCACAACACTCATTCCCCCCTCCCCCATGAGCGCGCCCTTCGTGCTGGGCCGCTTCTGTGCGCGCCCAGCCTTCCGACAGGCCATACGACCCCTCGATCGCGGATGCTGCCGCTGCTGGACTTCCTCCTTCACCCAGACGGCACGACAGTTGCCGCGACAGACGAAAACCGCCCGGTTTGCGAGGATAGCGCTGCGAGCTGGCGGCACCGGTGCCCTCGGTACTGCAGCATTCTTTGAGCTTTCACAAAAGGACAATGAAGGCACAGACCAGACTGGTGAGGGGCGGATGCTCGAGGCCAGCAGGGCCGAGATCAAGAAGAAGCTGGATGACAATGACGTTGGGTTCTCGAGGGTATGGCACTCGCTTCTCATCGGCTTGGACACGTATGTTGTCGAACCAGTCATGACGGGCATTCGCTTCTTGCATCTCGTCATCATCTTTGTGCCTGTCATCGTGACAGTGCCGGCCATCTGGTTCGGCGCTCGCCAGCCCAGCCGCGACAACGAGCGGAGCGGCACATTATGGTGGTACGGCTTCCTCGTGCAGGCCATGGAGTGGGCTGGTCCGGCCTTCATCAAGGTAAGAAGTGCGCAATGCGTCAGTGTCACAGCACATCTGACGGCGCCTCCAGCTCGGCCAATGGGCCGCATCTCGATCCGACATCTTCCCGACGGAGATGTGTGAAATCATGTCAAAACTCCACTCCAACGCCCCCGCCCATTCCCTCCACGCAACAAAACGCATCGTCTCCCATGCCTTTGGCGGCAAGTCCTTTGAGGAGATCTTTGACGACTTTGACGAGAAGCCTCTCGGCGTCGGCGCCATTGCGCAGGTGTACAAGGCCAAGCTCAAGCCCGGACTGGCGGTGCCGAGCGATGGCGATCTCCCGCGAGAGCCGAGCCTCCTGCGCCACAAGGTCGTGAAGAATGTCGAGACGGCGCTCAAGAGCTCCCCGAAACGCGTACCCTCGTCCTACGTCGCTGTCAAGGTGGTACACCCCAACGTCGAACGCACCGTGCGTCGTGATCTGCGCATCATGTACTTCTTCGCCTCGGCCATCAACATCATCCCCACCATGGAATGGCTGTCGTTGCCCGATGAAGTCGCGCAGTTTGGCGAGATGATGAAACTGCAGCTCGACCTGCGCATCGAAGCCGCCAACCTTGCCATCTTCCGCAAAAACTTTAAAGATCGGAGTACGGCCTGGTTCCCGTATCCATACACCGAGTTCACCACGCGCAATGTGCTCGTCGAGGAGTTTGCCCAAGGCATCCCGCTGGCCGATTTTATGGAGAACGGTGGCGGTGTCTTCCAGCAAGATATCGCCGAGGAGGGACTAGACGCCTTCCTCCGCATGCTGCTGATTGATAACTTTATCCATGCCGACCTGCACCCCGGCAACATCATGGTTCGCTTCTACCAGGCAGAAAAGCCCAGTCTCATGAGCTCTCATGCGAAACACCCCGACGAGGGCGACGACGTGACGGAGCAAGTCCTGGCCCGCCTCCGCCCCTACCGCCACCGCAAAGACCCCGCAGCATGGGACGCTGAGCTCAAGAAGATTGAGCACGAGGGTTTCCACCCGCAGCTCATTTTCATCGATACAGGTCTCGTCACCGAGCTCAACGCCACGAACCGCACCAACTTTCTCGACCTCTTCCGGGCCGTTGCCGAATTCGACGGCTACAAGGCCGGCAACCTCATGTGCGAGCGCTGCCGCCAGCCCGACGACGTCCTCGACCAGGAGGTCTTCGCGCTCAAGATGCAGCACCTCGTCCTCGGCGTCAAGAGCAGGACCCTCGCCCTCGGCAACATTAAGATTGGCGACATCCTGCAGCAGGTCCTCGGCATGGTGCGCGGCCACCACGTGCGCATGGAGGGCGACTTTGTCAACGTCGTCATCAGCATCCTGCTCCTCGAGGGCATCGGCCGCAGCCTGAACCCGGACATGGATCTCCTGAGCAGCTCGCTGCCCATCCTGCGCCAGCTGAGCGCGCAGTCGGGCGCCGAGATGGCCAAGCATGGCGATTTCTCCATGCTCTTTGTGTGGATGGGCCTGGAGACGCGCAAGTTCCTCCAGGCCAGTATTGAGGATGTGCGTCTGCAGCTGCTGCTGGTTCTTCTCCTCCGCTTCTCTGCTGACGTCTCGAATAGGTGGAACGCTTGGTCAAATATGATCTCCTTGCGCCGAATGTATAGATGTATAGATGTGAAGATACTACCGCCGTCTCCCACGGGTCCGTTTCCGACATGTCGTCTGCCATGGTCAAGGTCTATACAGATGTTGGCCAGATGCGTCCCATGTCTTTTCGCCTTGCGTTTTATGACGGCTAGGCCTCTCACCAACGGGATGGTCGAGCTACGGTGATCTATGGTGGCAGTGCATGTATGATCTCCCGTCACATGACGTAGTGCTCTGAGAGAGACGCTGTTGGCCTGCCCCAGACATGATGATGCATTTCTGCGCCCATCCGAAATACTGTGACTGTCTTGACATATGCCCTTTTGCCGGGTACGCTGATCGAGGAGCCTTCCTCGTCACGTGGCGACAATGTCATCGTCAACGGCTTTTATGTGGCTAAACTGAACACACTCTGGCCTTTTCGTTCCTCTTTTAACCTGACGTGCTGAGACGGCTTATCTGCCGAATATTGCGGCCACCCGCTATCCTACCGCTTTTCACTTGTTTGGGCCACCCCATCACCTTGGTACATGCCGAATATCCAGAAGGCCCGCGGAGAGATTGGAACCCACAAGAACCGATGTCTTCCTCGACCTCTCCGTCACGGTCGACCAAAAGGTCAATGAACAAGCGCTGTGATGCCAGATATGTTGTCATGGACATTCTGGTTGGGCCTCCATTGGCATATCACACACCAACACCGGGCTGTAAATGTCTCTCGGGGCTGTAAATGTCTCCCGAGGCAGCCTCTAAGTACTTGGAGGAACAGAGCAGACTTTCAAATAGTTCCTGGTCTCACTTTCGATTGGGAAATTTTCCTTTTGATTGGGAAAGAACAGGGTCTTGAATGGTAGCTTGTCTGTTTGGAATTTCGGGCACTTTGTTTCGATGTTCTGGTATTCCGAATACATGCTGGAAGCACACGCATGATCCGGACAGAGAGCATCGGCCGAGCCTGATACAACAGATCATCAGTTGGCCCTCGAACTGTTCGGACGGGGACAATAAGTGTGTACCAAATTGTATAAAATACGACGAAAGACAGTTCGCAGATTCCCTCGCAACCCTGGCCCTCATGTCAAGCGTCACCGTTGTCCCTGTGTCCCTTGTCTTGCGCTCACAGATTATCCATCTCCATCAGTGTGGCAGATTCCAGCCACTGTCCCCAATTCATGCTTTCCTCGCCATTCATGTCCATGTCAGCGCCTCCCAATTGCTCAAAGTCTGCCATATCCCACGACCCAGGGGTCAGGTCTAGGCTCAATGCGCCATTCCTTGACCAGTCCACTGGTAGACCCATCTCATCGAGTTGGTCGTGAGAGACCCCCAAAATCTCATGCCGTTGCGTGTATTCGTGGCTTGGAAACCGCTGACTGAATTGCGTCTCACCGTATTGGGACCCCGAATCATCGTATCGTGAGGGCGAAGCGAACTGCATCGCCCCTGCGTGATCTCGATCGATGGAGCGTGCAGGATCACCGTGGCCACTCTGTCGCGGCCCAGAGACGACATCCCGCCAGTGTCTCGCAAACAACGCCAAGCTGTCGCCGCCTTTGAACGGCCCGGGGCTGACGGGTACCGGAACATCCTCATCCTGCCTCTGAAGCGCCTCGACGGCAGCCGGGTCCGCGCGCAGCCGCCAGATCTCGGCATCCCGGTGCCGCCGCGCGCGCCGCATGAGGCGCCGCAGCGGGATCCACACGCGCGCGCTCTTGTCGCCCTTGGGCTGGGCCGGGATCAGCCAGCGGCTGTGCAGGGCGACCCAGGCGCGCTCGACGACGGCGGACCACGGGGCGGCGCGCGGCCCTCGATGAGGAGAAAGACAATGGCGTGCCAGGGCTTGTACGTCTCGACGAATCCAGCGCACGGCTGGCTCGCCGGGTCGGCGCTGAGGACGTGGTTGAACTCGGCGACCTCGATGGCGGCCACGAGCGCACGTCCCTGCGTATGCGGGGCGACACACCGGGTGTCGCCGGCCGTCAGCAGCGTCGCCAGGTTGGATGAAGAGGGCCAGCTTGGCGATGACGAGGCGCGTCGACGTCGAGCCGACCCAGTACGCCAGCGTCGCGAGGTCCTTGACGTGGTGGCTGAAGCCCCAGGTCGCAAAGTCGGTGCGGAAGGCGTCGAGGAGGCGGTGCTGCGCCGCGACATCGGGGCCGCCGTCGGCCGTGCGCGCCGTCATGATCTGCCGCGTGACATGGCAGGTGCGGTAGCAGGCGACGGCGAAGGACATGTCGGTGTCGTGGTCGCGCGCGACGGGGCGGCGCGCGCATGGCGGGCCGCATGTCGGCGTCGGCGACGTTGATGGGCATGCGCGTGTCGAAGGCGCCGTCGGCGATGGAGAACTCGGTGCCCTGGTCCTCGGCGGCGCGGATGTCGAGCAGGCAGAGGCACCACCAGACGCGCCGCCGCATCTCGACCTCGTACGGCGACAGGTGCGCGAAGTGGGTGCCGTCGCGGTGCAGGCCGACGGCGACGGCCATGCGCGCCGCGAGGCCCGTCATCATCCACACGTAGCGCGGGCTGTCGTGGCGGCGCGCGAGGCCGAGGAAGATGATGAAGGCCTGGACGAGCGACACGGTGGGCAGCCGGATAAAGTCGGCGCGCGCGAGGGCGTGCTCGAGACCGAGACGGAACTTGTAGTTGAGCTCTGCTTTCGCGGCGCCAAAGCTCGAGGCGACCTGCGCGTGTCAGCTGATGGCCGGAGACGAGGGATTGAGTCTCCGTAAGGAGGACCAACATCTTCTTCGCTCATGGAGGTGACGGCCGCATAGTAGACGGCAAAAGCGAGGGCTTCGTTGGCCGGAGGGATGCTGCCCGCGCTCCTACCGCGCATGTCGCGGATCATGTCCCTGAGAGCCGGCATGTGCACGATTTGTATGCAAAAGTTGACATTTTCCGAAAAGACGTCGACAAGAAAGGGAATCTGTGATGGAAGCGGGCGGAATTGGCCGAGGTCGGGGGCGGATGGCCCAAGATTATGGCCGAACAGAAGGCCGTTGCGCTCAGAAGCACCACGCTCTGACTCTCGTGTGCTCGCCGTCTGACCAGGAGAATCCGTGTCGTCCTCGGAGACATCGGAATCGCCGCCAGCGAGACCTTGCGTGTCTGCCTTGAGGGCATCGAGCTGGGGACGTTAGGGCGAATACCAAAGACGATGAAGCGCAGCATGCTACTCGTCGCTGACGCGTGTCCAGAAACTGCTGCAACGTATTGGCTTCGCCCCTTTTCTTGGCCGACCATTCGTCCCATGCCCGGCTGGACACCAGCAGCAGGGGCCGCCGACAGACCATGGCGCTGGCTGCCGAGCCCATCGCCATCAGGAGACGGCGCGTGACGATCCCCGCTCTTCGCGGCGTTGGCCTGCTCGAGCTCGGCGCCGAGGTCTTTGACCATCTTCTCCAGAGTCCGCAGCCGGTCCATGACAGCACCGGCCGCCGGCTCGCTTTCCTGCGGCGCCGAAGGCCGCGCCGCCAGCTTATCGAGACGACGCGCCCATCGCGGGGGGCGGTCGCTCGAGGCCACGGTGCAGGGTATGCCGGCGCGGCGACAGTTGGAGCACGGCGACAGCTTGTCGCAGCGGACCTTGCGGCTGCGACAGACGACGCAGCTGCGCAGCTTGGACGCTGGCGCCGAGGATTTCGTGCTGTCCTCCGAAGGCGACGCCGAGACCTGCGCGGGGACTGCAGCGCCACCGGGCGTGGTGGTCGACATCTGTGAGCCGAAGAGTGGAGAGCGGAACGGGCTTGGCGACCGGGAGAGGCCGGACGATCGCAGATTGTTGACGTCAAAGACCAGAGAGCTGGGACACGCTCCTACTGCGCCCCATGCCTT